CTCGCCCCAGTCTTGGGATGGAAAGATGCGGAATTCTCCCGGAGGATCACGGTTCACAAAAAGTGCCTCGTCTCGCAAGACCTCGGATACCAGGTAGGACGTCTCCTATCTCCCTCGTCCACGGCCCCATCCTCGGATGACAGATACAGACCCCCGGTGAAGGGCTTCGTAATGGCATCGACCATCCCGAGGGAGAAGCGGAGGAGTCGAGATCGCTGTCGTTCTGGCTCCGTATAGGCCTATGCCGAATGGCATTCGGCTCGGCAGCGTAGTTCTTGTCTTTCGGGTCGGCACAATCGCATTACTTTGGCCACGCGTCCCCCGGGACGTCCCCTGACGTCAGACGAGATCGTATAATGTTATAGTACCATGGTAGAACATAAATACGAGCCGGATATAGAAAATCGCGCCGAGAGGGAACGAACTAACATTAAATCCCAGCAGGTCCCTCCGCGTCCGCGACATCTCATCCCTCAAGATTTCGATTTTCCTCCCATCATCATATCTCCACCCTTCCTTCTCTCATTTTTTCTCCTCAGATCTTCGCCACGATGTCGACATTCTACGTGCCCTTGTTCGTGATCCTCGCTCTCTACTGGCAAGTATTCAAAGCAGCGAGGAAGAGGATCCGACGGCGACTCGGCGGCGGCGGCGGACGAAGCAATCCTCCGCCGACCGTCACTTCTTCCCTCGGCCCACCTGCTCCACCTCCTTCGCCTTCCCCTTCTTCGGCTGCCTTCAGGGAAGAACTACCCCTCACGACAAGGACTCCCATTTCATCCACTTCCACCAATCAAGGGCCTCTACCTCAGGGTGAATATCGCTCATCGATCATAATTAATGGGTTATTCGTGGAATCACGAGCGGGGATCCAATATCGGTCGAGCTAGATTGCATTCCTATCCCGCGCGTGCAGAATTCTCGGCGATGAGATACAAAACGGGCCGAAATAACGATGGGGGAGGCCTTGAATACGAAAGGATGCGACGGGATCGTGACGAAAACTTCCTGGGAGGGCTTTCCCGAAATGCAAACGCATTCGTCACGGCACTCCGGCGGACAATAGAACCAGGAAATGCCACAGTGCTCGATGACGGAGAGGATTTAGAGATGGAAATCCGAGTCTTCGCAGATACCATCAACCTCGAGTTCATCCCATTCATCACTTCTATCTTTTGGCATGATTAATTGTAACCAGGCCGCTCTTGAACAAGGCGGCAAAAAAACAAGACGAGTCCAAGGTCAGAAGAAGAGGATTCCCAGCCTAAGACGATGATAATCCCATCGGACTCGCTCGTCTTGCGAGTCTGCCAGTCGTGAGGGTTATCTAATTTTTTTCCCCTTACCCCGACGGACCTTGTCACCGCCCATATCCGTCCGTGATAGCGGAGAATCAATGCGCTCCCTCTTGTCTCGGGAAGCGAATCCAATCATCGGATTCCGATGGAGGAGAAGTAGCCGGAGGGGCGTCTGCCACGAGATAGGCCTATCGACCTCCTTCGCCGGAGGGAGGCTTTTCTGCTTCGGGCGTCCCTGGAACATCTCATTGAAATATGGATACCGTCAGGGCTCACTTTAATGGAACTGACTTTTGATTCATTGCCCATTGTTCCGTGGGGGGAAAGGAAGAACTTCTTGGTGAAATATCGCGGAGGAGGGGAAAAGATCGGGGCAATTCTAATGGTGGCAGAGTTGGCTTCGCTGATGGCACGGCGAGCACCCGGCTTTTTCAAGCGGATTGGATATGATGCAATAGAATGTAGTCCTGGGCTTTAAGAGAGTTCGGCTTTCCTGACGGATCCCTGGATTTATGTCCTAGAAAATGGAGGAGACATCCAAATTAGTGAAATGGAGTCAAGATTAGTGGATCTCGATGTCTCTTCGGCGCCTCAAATTCCTCCTCGTATCGTGGTTCGTGCCCAAGTCCTACTTCACTCGTTTCGATGATGTTCGCGTCGCTAAACTTTAAAAATAAATTCTAGGAGACGAAAGAAGCCGAGGAGGACGGCGAAGGAGGCAAATCCAAAGATGAGGAAGAAAAAGCGAAGGCAAAAGCGAGGAAGCGTCGACGCCGCAAGCGGAAGCGCGAGACGCTGGAAGCGAAACGCGAGCGAAAGGCAGCCAAGACCCTGGCGATCGTGACGGGCGCCTTCGTCGTCTGCTGGCTCCCGTTCTTCGTCACGGCCTTGATCCTTCCCGTCTGCCCTTCCTGCCCCTTCCTCAGCGACTCCCTCACCAGCTTCTTCCTCTGGCTCGGTTATTCCAACTCCATGCTCAATCCCATCATCTACACCATCTTCAGCCCGGAATTCCGGGTCGCCTTCAAGCGGATCCTCTGTCCGCATTCCCGTTTCAATCTGCGACGTCCCGCCAACCGACTCTGAACCTTCGAGTACCTTCCTGTACCTGCGCCTGCGAGCGGGAGAAGATCAAAAGTTTGTCTCTTCGCCGTCGAGGAAACGAGATGCAATGACGTCACAAGGATGCACGAACGCCCGAATCGAGCCCCACGAGGCATTCGTGCATCTCTTACCCTCGGAATTGCTTCTCGTTTCCCCGTTCTTGTTGAACATCGACCCGACGATCGCCGAGAGCTATAAAATAATCACCTCGACGTTGAACGCTCGAGTCAGGTGCGTTTCATTTCGCATCGGTTGGATCCCGGAACATTCACAGCACGTACCGTGATGTCACGCGAATCACGCTTCGTGTTCTCACATGTGCGCTACGGCTTCCAGCGAGATTAAATCATGCCATTAAATAGATAGTTCCTGCGGAGAGAAATACGGAAACGGAACCGAAATGGATGAGATCGATGCCTTTGGAGCTTACGAGATGGATTCAGAGAGGTGATAACGTATGCAAGGCAGGGAACTATTCAAATCCTCCTCAGTCCTTTAATACGAAATCCGTTCTTACTATAACCGCGTATCACGTACATCATCTCGAGAATATTCCCAAAAGATTTTCCTTCGACTGTGAGCGCTTGGATGAAAAAAAAA